AAAGAGTGAATGATGAACTACTCACTTTTCATGGCTTTGGCAAAGCTAGAAAAGTGAGTGCTACTCATTCCTCTAAATAGAGATGCTACTAAGTAAAGAAAACTAAAAAACGAGCTTTTCTTCAATGAAGAATAAGTGAATCACTTTCCACCTTTCACAGCTTTAGTAAAGCTCAAGAAAAGTGGAAGAGTTTCACTCTTCTAAGAAAGAAGGATGCTCAAGCAATGGAAGTGAAATACATGAACAATAAAAGTAGAAGAAAGTTAGTTGCTTTTGGAGGGTTTCCACCACAACCAAAAGATGAACTACCTCTCTTGATACTTTGTAAGTAAGAGCAAATACAACTACAAGGGGAGTCTAAGCCTCCATCATGGTCGCCACAANTTGTTGACTGCAACACGCCATGTCTCAGCAGTTGGTCTTGGTAGGGTTTCAGATGAAGTTCGAACGTTGGTTAACGTTCAAACGTCCTTGCTTTGTTCCAACCTTTTGCATTTTTGCTCCCTTTTGTGCTAGTGTTACATTCAAGTGTGATTTTTGTTGTTTTTGGGCCTTTGTTCACTTTAGGACCTGAAATGTCATTACTTAAACTCCATCAAAGCACAATTAGTCCAAAAAGACATAGTAAGAATTGTTAACTTTACGCACGAATCAGTACGTATACCGGTATGGTTTACTGAAATAGCCCAGAATGCCTGTTTTTCATGCTCCACTTGCTTGGGGGTCCCACCATTGATTCTCCCACTTGCCCCTGACTTCCCTTACACATTTTCATGCCTCCTACACCCTTATTGAAGACTTTGAAGGCCNTAAAAATTGTGTGAATGCTGAATATATGGAGAAGAACTCTGCATTTTCATCCATGTAGGGTCCCCCTAGGTGTGTGATAGGCCTCCCATCCATAGGAGGCTGAGTTGATGCATTGCACAGGCTAGGACAAGCTAAGCCTGCAACCATCATGTCTGCCCTCTTCACTCCCATCCCCATTAATGTCATTGCCTTCAAAGTCTTCAACTAGGGTGTAGGAAGTATGTAAATGTGTAAGGGAAGTTAGGGGATAAGTGGGAGAAACAATGGTGGGACCCCCAAGTAAATGGAGTATGAGTTGCAGGCATTCTGGGCATTTTGGGCAAAACCTACCGGTAGATTTTTAGCGATCTACTGGTAGGTTTTGGCTACTAGAGTAAAAACTACTGGTAGGTCTTTCTGGTAGGTTGCCTACTCCAGACCAGTTTTCATAGAATTATCATAACTTTTGTTCTAACCGTTGGATTAAGCTAACATTTTGACACAATACAAAATACATCGAGATCTACAACTTTCATGTTTTGCACTTGTTTAGATTCGAAGTGGATCATGGTCAAACATGGGAGAAACAGCGGTACTGTGTCAAAACCTTGGGAAACCAGTGGGCAAAACCTTTTGAAATCCATTTCTCTTGATTTCTTCACCTTCCAAGCCTCCCAATCCTCATTTAATGNTAGGGGGACATTCGAACATTATCTGAAGTTCGAATGTCAAGTCTGCCTTTGCTTTGAAGGCATTCGAACGTTATCTTTCTTCCACTCAAGTGGCCTGTGGTCACTGACTTGGTCTCTGACTTAGTCACTTCCACACGCCTTGACATCATTAACTGTACACTCAGCAACTCCTTAGTCACTTAAGACAACGTTCAAATGTGGAATGACGTTCGAACGTTGTACTCAAGTGCTTCTGGTTCTTCTCTTTTTGTTGACTGCAACACGCCATGTCTCAGCAGTTGGTCTTGGTAGGGTTTCAGATGAAGTTCGAACGTGGGTTGGCGTTTGAATGTCCTTGCTTTGTTCCAACCTTCTACNTAACATCAAAAATTCAACATTATTGACAACTTTGGCTAACTCCAAGTACTTAAATGCAAAATTTGAGTTAAAATGCATGTAATGAGGCCTTCAAATATGCAATATTATGTACTCATCAATTAGCACATAATATTGCATATTATGTATGCCTTTTATACCCTTTTATTCTTGCTTTTATTGTGAATTTGGGGAGAAATACGACTAAGCAACCAATTAATGATGTTGTGTGATTTTAGGTAAAGAGTTAATTATGGCTTGAGTTAAGCCCCCATCATAGTGCTTAAAGTCAATGGAGATGAGGGGCTGGTTTAAAGGGAGGCTTAAAAGGTGAAGAAATTAAGAAAAAGACATGTTAGGGGAAAACATTCCAGAAGATTTAAACTTGGTTTGCCTATGCCCTGTCAAAACCTTCTGGAAGGTTTGCATCAACCTTCCAGAAGGTTAAACTCACTGGACAATTTTTTTCATTTCCCTGCCAAAACCTTTCAAAAGGTTTGCATCGACCTTGCTGAAGGTTTTGCCCAGAAATGTCAAATAGCCTGCAACTTAAGTTCTGCCACTTAGGGGTACCACCTATGATTCTACAACTTATCCCCTAACATCTCTTACACACATACATGCCTCCCTACACTTCATGGTAGACTTTGGAAGGCAATGCATTAATGAGGAAGAGAGAGAAGATAAAAGCTTGGGAAGTTACAGGCTAAGCTTGTCCTAGCCTACTTAAGGCATCAACTCAGCCCCCCATTGATGGGAAGCCTCTCACACAGGCTATGGGACCTCCATGGATGAAAATGAAGACAACACTTGACATTTTGACAGCAATGTTCAGATTTATAGAGAGAGAAGCTCAAGGAGGAAGACATAGTTTTAGAGAAAGAAGTTAGATTTTTGTATTTTCTTTACCCATTTCACTTGTAATTTGCTTTAAGACTCTTGTAAGCTTCATTTATTGCACTTAATGCCATTTATTTCAAGTGTATTGCAAGTTTAGTTAAGTATCTTGGAATCTACCATTGTTATATTCAAGTTTTCACTTCAACCTTTTAAGTTGGGTATTAAATGCACTCATTTTTGTAGTTTCACTTTTCTTTACATTAACCCAAGTTTTAATCTCCATTCCAATACCGTGTCTCCTTACACATTGTATGTGTTTGCATTTAATATGAGTAGCTAAGCTTTAAGTTGGCTAATCCAAAGGAGAACTCCTCTTGGGTATGCTAAATCAACTACTTTTCATTCTTCCTTGTAGTATAAGGTGGTTTGGTTTGACTGGGTTGAGTGCAGACATGGTTTTGAGCTCTTGATACACCGTAGACTTGTCATGGGGAATGCTTGAGCCTACACCACATTATTCTCTCACTTTCTACGAATCAATTGAACACCTAGGCACAATTAGAAGAATATTGTGAGTTGATTTGGCATTCCCATTGGAATGACCTCTTCGGATTAGCCAACCCTTTTTTTCATTGCATTTTCACTCACCACACACACTTAAAATATTTTACACTTTTCATTTTCTTTATAAAATCACATTTACCATAATTCGACCTTCCTTCTTTGAGGAGACGACCTTGGAATACTTAATTCCAAGTAAAACACGACACTAGAAAGTCTCTTCACTTGAAGAGCACTTTGCACACACATATTTTCATCCACACACGTTTTCTCCATTTCTAGCATTAAACCTGAGGGAAAGGGATAGTCACCTACACACATAAGCCATATACACTTAGTTTGGGTTAGTGTTTGGAGATTAGGGTGAACACAATCAGGCACTAATCAGAGCTTATCATCTCGATCCAAGGATGAGCTTTTCAAGTCATACCTCAAATAAGATTTTTAGTTTATAAGAGCTATTCAACTTAAAAATGAGTCTTTCAGATTGTGGGAGTTTTATAGCTTTTAAAAGGTTAAGTTTTAAATCAAAGGGCGGGACAGACATGTAACACCAACATCAAGATCGAAAACAACAAAAAGAAAGGAGTTATATATTTTATATTCAAAAAGAAATTACAAAACAAGATATTACAACTTGCTAGTTTAAGGCCTAGCTCCTTTCTTATTGAGTTCCTCCAGCTACATATAGGGCATTCTCCCTAGCTAGCTTGTCCCTCACAAGCTAAGTAAGAAAAAGCTCTCTCTCTCTCTCTCTCTCTCTCTCTCTCTCTCTCTTTATAACTAGCTCCATTGTAGTGCTAGCTCAACAGTAGTGCAACACTCATCCTTTGAACCAACAGAAAGAATGAACGAGGTGGATGATCCTCGCAACCTCTTCCTAGAAGAAAAAGGAACATCATCGTCCCCAACTCTTTTCATCCCAGGAGCTTGCACTACGACCTCCGTGATTGAGATGGCCATCTTCAGAGTAGGCACTGGTCTTAGCCTAAGCTTGAAAATATTTTGAGTTGCAACTAAGTCTCTAAAATCACCTTTACCATAATTCAACCTTCCTTCTTTAAGGAGACGACCTTGGAATACTTAATTCCAAGTAAAACATGACACTAGAAAGTCTCTCTTCGCTTGGAGAGCACTTTTGCACACACACATTTTCATCTACACACATGTTTTCTCCATTTCTAGCATTAAACCTGAGGGAGAGTGATAGTCACCTACACACATATACACTTAGTTTGGGTTAGTGTTTGGAGATTAGGGTGAACGCAATCAAGCACCAATCAGAGCTTATCAGCTCGATCCAAGGATGAGCTTTTCAAGTCATACCTCAAATAATATTTTTAGTCTATAAGAGCTATTCAACTTAAAAATGAGTCTTTCAGATTATGGGAGTTTTATAGCTTTTAAAAGGTTAAGTTTTAAATTCGAGGGCGGGACAGACATGTAACACCAACATCAAGATCGAAAACAACAAAAAGAAAGGAGTTATATATTTTATATTCAAAAAAAAAATTACAAAACAAGATATTACAACTTGCTAGTTTAAGGCCTAGCTCCTTTCTTATGGAGTTCCTCTAGCTACAGATAGGGCATTCTCCCTAGCTAGCTTATCCCTCATAAGCTCAATAAGAAAAAGCTCTCTCTCTCTCTCTCTCTCTTTCTCTCTCTCTCTTTTTATAACTAGCTCTATTGTAGTGCTAGCTCAACAGCAGTGCAACACTAATCCTTTGAACCAACAGAAAGAACGAACAAGCCGGATGATCCTCATAACCTCTTCCTAGAAGAAAAAGGAACATCATCCTCCCCAGCTCTTTTCATCATAGGAGCTTCCACTATGACCTCTGTGATTGAGATGGCCATCTTTAGAGTAGGCACTGGTCTTAGCCCGAGCTTGAAAATATTTTGAGTTGCAACTAAGTCTCTAAAGGACACGGGTGTATATACAATAGTGTTATGTATCCTAAAGAGCTTTGACGGAGACTTCCACAGGACATCCCCTACAACATTCAAGGAGAAAATTCGAAGATAGTTAAACCTCAGGTAGTAGAATTAGATATTGAAAAGAAAGTGTCTGAATACACTTAATCATATTTGAGGGATGACTCCAGATGCAAGGGCCACAAAGAGCTTTGACAACCTGTCCCTCAAATTCCCAAGTGGCGTTGCCATCCTTTTGGGTATACAGGGAGGTTTACAACTAGCTCATGCACTTGAGCTCTCCAGATGAAGCAGTAGAAGTAAGGAGGAAGACAAGGATCTCCTCATTGCCATGTAGGCGCCAGAAGAGGAAAATTCCTATCAAAAGACTCGATTGAAGTGAGTAAAAATTTTCCTTATGAAGACAAACATAGGAAACCTGAGTCCGACCTCAAAGGAAAAATAAAAGAAGCAAACCTTCCTCTATAAAAGTAGGTTACAGGGTTCATCGACGGTAGGAGCATGCACAGAAACACCAGCAGGAAACCAATAGTGTCTCTGATGGGCTCCATTTCACCTTTAGAGATGCTATTGGGAACCATTAAGGCACCCTAGTCTGAGTCTTCTAAATATAGTGAAGCGCATTGTCTAAACTTAGAGGAAAGGGGCATCTGTATCTTAGGAAGGAAAGAGAAAGTTTTCTTATGAAAAATTTGTTAAAGTAGGTTGTAGAGTGAAAGCCAATGTGGAGTGACATCTGTGATTTTATTGAAAAAAATGAAAACAATTGGCCTCCCTGAAAAACACAATGCATGAAGGGGTGTAATAAATAAAGAAACAATCATGGCAACTCAGGCATTAAGAGGATGTATCAAGGTGCTTTTTCCACTTCTTAACGACTTGATGACGCAAGTACAACCGTCTTAATCATGTATTTTTTAATAACCATCGTAAAATTGTCCCATAACATTGATAACTCGCACAAGTGATTAGCCATAAAGACGAGCTCCTTAGCTTTATGTGACAAATTTTTCACCTAATGGAGCATCTCAGCTGGCGATATGCTCATCAGCTCATTCCATACAGAGCTTATAAACTCAGACTAATAATAACACTTTAGCCCATACCTACGACAAGCCTTTAGCTCATGATAGAACAAGTCGGGCCTAGGCCTAGAGCCAAATTTATAAACCACCAAGTCCAGGGCCACCCAAAGCTAGAACTCAATGGTTAGAATCCAAAAAGAGGTCCTTGCCGCAAGGCCTTTTCCTTATGGAAAGTGAAGGGGGGGGGGGGAACAAATAAGAAGAAAGGCAAACACAGAGAAAAGTTACATTACAAAAGGAGAAAAGTTCACATTTTCATTACAAAAGGAGGAAAAGTTGAAGAGTTACATTCTTGGAAAAGTTATAAAAACAGAGAAAAATTGTAATTCTTAATTAGCACGAGCCAGCTCTTCTTCTCCTTTGGCTGGAGGTCTAGCCACTTCACTCCTAGACCCTTGCTCCTCAAAAATCAGGGGAGAACTTGGGTAGGCCAATCTGAATTCAACTCGAGCCCAACCCAAAAGAACTGGACTTCGGTTAGAATTTTTAATAATTGGGTTGGGCCTAGTGCTTGTTATGTTTCACCCTAATCTTTGAACACTAACCCGAACTAGGTGTATATGGCTTATATGAGTAGGTGAGTGTTACTCTCCCTCGGGTTTGATGCTATAAATGGGGAAAATGTGTGTGTGGATGAAAATGTGTGTGTGCAAAAGTGCTCTCCAAGCATAAAGAGACTTTTGATGTCGTGTTTTACTTGGAATGAAGTATTTCAATGTCGTCTCCTCAGGGAAGGTTGGTCAAATTGTGGTGAAGGTGATTTTTTAAAAATGAAAAAGTGTAAAATCTTGTGAATTGGTGCTTGGGTGAGTGAAGATTGTTATTAAAATGAAATAAAAACAAGGTTGGCTAATCCGAAGAGGTAATTCCAATGGGAATACCAAATCAACTCAATTCATTCAACCAATGGTGCCTAGGTGCCTGATTGATTCGTAGGAAGTGAGGGACTAATGTGGAGTGTAGGCTTAAGCATATCCCGTGACAAGTCTACAGTGTATCAAGAGCTCACAACCGCGTCCGCACTCAATCTAGTCAAACCAAGCACTTTACACTAGAAGGTAGAATCGAGAAGAGTTGATTTAGCATACCCAAGAGGAAGTTCCCCTTGAATTAGTGATTAGCACAGAATATTGCATATTTTGTATGCCTTTTATACCCTTTTATACTTGCTGTTGTTGTGAAATTGGGGAGAAATATGACTAATCAAACAATTAATGATGTTAATGCGTGATTGTAGGTAAAGAGTTGATTATGGCTTGAGTTAAGCCTCCATCATAGTGCTTAAAGTCAATGGAGATGAGGGGGTGGCTTAAAGGGAGGCTCGGAAGGTAAAGAAATTAAGAAAAAGACAAATCTAGAGAAAACCTTCCAAAAGGTTTGGTCATAAACCATCCGAAAGGTTTGGTCGTAGAATTGAATTGCCAATGCCCATGCCAAAACCTTCTAAAATGTTTTCCCTACTGGAATAAACCTTCCAAAAGGTTTGCATCGACCTTCTAGAAGGTTTGAGACACTAGACTATTTTTTCTCCTTTTCCTGCCAAAACCTTTTAGAAGCTTTTCATATACCTTCTGGAAGGTTTTGCCCAGAAATGCCAAACAACCTGCAACTCAAGCTCTGCCACTTGGGGGTTCCACCTATGATTCTCCCACTTGTCTCTTGACATCTCTTACACACATACATGCCTCCCTGCACTTAAGGTTGGACTTTGGAGGCTAGTGCATTAATGAGGAAGAGAAAGAAGGTGGAAGCCTAGGAAGTTGAAGGCTAGGCTTGTCCAAGCTTGTCCAAGCCATCAACTCAGCCCTCATTGATGGGAAGCATCACACATAGGCTATAGGACCACCATGGATGAAAATGAAGAGACTCTTTGACATTTTTTACAGCATTTTAGAGAGAGAAGCTCAAGGAGGAAGACATAGTTTTAGAAAGAGAAGTGAGATTTTTGCATTTCTTTTACCCATTTCACTTATTGTAAGCTAGAATATTCTTGTAATCTTCATTCAATGCACTTCAATCTCATTTATTGCAAGTGTATTTCAAGTTTAGTTACACATTCTAGATTCTACCATGTTTGTATTTAAGTTTTTCATTTCAAGCTTTTCAAATGGGTATTAAATGCACTTCTTTGTAGTTTAACTTTTCTTGCATTAATACAAGTTCCAATATTTATTTCTTCACAATGTCTCTTTACATTATGTATGCTCTTGAATTAAATATGAGTAGCTAAGCTTTAAGTTGGTTAATCCAAGGGAGAATTCCTTTTGGGTATGCTAAATCAAATCTTTTTCATTCCTCTTTTTAGTGTAAGATGGTTTGGTTTGACTAGGTTGAGTGTGGACGTGGTTGTAAGCTCTTGATACTCCGTAGACTTATCACAAGATATGCTTGAGCATACACTTCCATTTTAGTCTCTCACTACCTACAAATCAATCAAACACCTATGCACCATTGGAAGAATGTTTTAAATTGATTTTGGCATTCCCATTGGAATGATCTCTTTGGATTAGCCAACACTTGTTTCTATTACATTTCATCAAGAACACAACTCACCAAAACACAAATCTCCAAGGTTTTACACTTTTCATTTTTCACAAAATCACATTCACACAATTCACCTTCCTTCCTTGAAGAGACGACCTTGGAATACCAATTCCAAGTAAAACACGACACTCAAAAGTCTCTCTACACTTGGAGAGCACTTTTGCACACACAAACATTTCATTCACACATGTTTTCCCATTTCTTGCATGATCTCCAAATGAGAGTAACACTCACCTAAACGTTTAAGCCACATACACATTAGGAATGATGGAATAAAACAAACAACTAGCCAACAAAAAGCTTAGCTACTCGTGTTCAAAGTAAAAACAATCATAATGTAAAGAGACATGTAGGTGAAATGGACTAAAAATAGAGATGAAATGAAGCTTAGAACTTGTATTAATGCTAGGAGAAGGTAAACTACAAAGACAAAACCCAGTTGAAAATATAAAAGTGCAAGAACATTGAATTAAACTTGAAATAAAAGAGATTACAATGCAAGAAATGAAGATTACTAGTGAAATATAAATTAATACAATTGAAGTGGGTGAGGCAATTGCAAAAATCTAAGCTCTTTCTCTAAAGTATGTCTTCTACCTTGGCAGCTTCTCCCTTTAAAAATGATGAACAATGCTATGTAAAATCTATAGAATCGTGGAATTTTCATCCATGAGGGCTCTATGGTTTGTGTGCTTTAGAGTTTCCATGATTTGAAGAGTTTGCATACCTACACAAGCAAAGTGTAGGCATGCCTACACTCCCAATGCCCTTGACCAGCCTCATTCTTTCTCTCTCCTCTTCATCCATTCCTTTTCTTCCAAATTTAGAATTTTGTGTAAGGATGGCATGGTTGTAGGTAGAACATGCCAGGGTAGGTGTGGGAGAAACACAAGTTGGTAGAGTTTAAGTTGAAGGTGTCTGGCGTTTCTAGGCCAAACTTGTAAAATCTGGGAAAAATTTAAACTTTTGTAGACAAGGGCAAAATGATAATTTACTACTACAATACAGGTTGAAAACTAAATTTTTCTAGATCTCGGATGACGAAATGGATCTCACTGTTGGATTGGTCTCGCGAAATCTAGTTACCCTGTCAAATTTCATCAAATTCTGAAATAGTCAGATTTTTTTCCATTTTATGAGGCAGTCGAGTCTCGGATGACCCAAAAATTAAAATTTTAATAAAATTTTGAAAGTTAGAAAATAATTTCAAGCAAATTAAAATAAAAATATTTTGAACTTGAATCAGGACGAAATTTAATCATTTTGGGACGAAAACGGACCCGAGAAAAAGAGAGTCGTGTGGCGCGTTGTGGTCAAAGTATTCTACGAGTATAAATAGGGGAAAAATCAGATTTTTCCCCATTCTTTAGCCGACCTTGAACGTTGAGAGAAAGAGAGGGAAAGTGAGGGAAAACTCCACCTTCTCTCTACGGTCTAGGAGGTTTGAGTGGTCATATCTACTCAGGCTAAGAGTTACAGTCGGTCTTCTCGTCGAGAGCTACACTTACATACCAAGAATGAGGGTTTTTACTGAAGGTTGAAAAATGAGATTTTGGGAAGGCTTGGAATAGAGTTTGAGTTAAAATTTTAGAGCTTTCCTACGGGTTCTTTACACTTGAAGAGGTAGGGTTCCTTCCAACTCGGGTTTATTTTACAACCTAGGGTGTAGTATGTAATGGGTATATGGATAAAAAGATTTTATCATTACCTATGTTATGGAAATTAATGAAATGGGTATTGAAGTTGGGTAAAATGAAAGTTTACCTTGAAATGAGTTGTGAATTAGACACAATGTGATCCATGGAATTGGGTGTTATGTGGGTATGTTGTGTGTTTACTTTATGCCTTGGAAATTTAGTGTATTGTTAGCATATGTTATGTAATGACATGCTTGTGAATTGTTGCTGAAAATAAAATGTTGATATATGTTCATTGATATATGGAATTATGAG